ATGCGTTCTGAAATCTGATAATATGTACAATGTACGACATATGTGAACAAAATAATAGACAATCTACCTCATACGTTGTTACGTTCGGCAACGCAGTCAATCCGCGTCCGCCGTGCATACGCGTAGTAGGTACATAATCAGCCACTGAGAGTCAGCAACAATATGTGTCATCGTGACATTACGTAATAGCGTGTCGTCGGTTCGGTGTGAACGAGTACGTAACGCGCGCTCACACTGCTCACAGACAGCAGCCGACAATACGTTTAGTATAAACAATGCATAAGGGACTACACATTTGACAGAGCCTGGGCAGCAGCGCTTTCTAATAAACCTTAACTTGCGAAGTTGCAAGTGGTTATAACAAAAAAGAAATATACCTAATACTGCATACTTTTTAACGTAATCGAAAAAGTGCCATTTGTACGAAACTCTCAGCGGGAGTCCAATTTCGACTCATCAAAGAAACTCCGATTACGGAACCCACTTTTTTGTCTGTTATCATTGGGATAATCGGTATGAAAGAAAAACTGGTTTGTAATGTGATGATGCCTGATAAGAAAGAATGAAAAAAGAAGATAAAAATAAAGGAAAACCATTTATTCGCACACAAATACAAAAATAAATAAGAATTAAATTACACAAAAGAAAGAAATACAGATACATAAATAGGTTATACAAAATAATTATAATAAACTTAAAAGAGTTGACAAGAATAAAGAAACGACAAAATGTAACAAAATAGTGATAATTCAATAATAACATAGAAATCCAATATCAATAGAACAAGATATAGATACCATTATTTTTAAAAGCGCGTGCACCTGCGAAAAATGCCACCATCTCAGCATTGCGTTAAGCCGACCTGCCAAGGCATTGAAATGCAAGACGTTTTATATGGTACCCTATTTTTTTTAAAGTGGGAAAATCATCGAATGGCTTCTCCCGCCTGGGTGAGGCCGGTGAGGCGGGAGGGAGTGTCAGACTATTACTGACTAAATACCACACCGTTAAGATAAACCCGCCCCGGTAACCCGTTAAGTTCTGCGCGGCCCCGTACATATGCACTCTGCAGACACTCAATGCTGTCAGTTTTATGGGGACGTTCCCTAGTGACAGTAATGCGGACGAGTTCCTTGACGCCTAAGGGATGCTGTCTTTTTATTTTTCTTGTGGTTTTTTTCGCTGTTTTTGTTCTAATAATTTATAGATGTAGGTACATACTGATTTATTTTCTTTGCTTGTTATTTAAGTTCCTATATGAAAACAATAAACAACAGATATCGAACGGTCTATTTGCAAAAAAGAGAGAGAACTAAATATATTATATATACAATAAAGCGAAAAATATAATAAACTCCCACTTTGCCTAGTTAGAACATTTGATATGAACCTACTATAAGTTCTGGAAAAACTCCAAAGAACAATTACTATTCAGGTTAACAAGTTTAGTGTACATAAAAAAGAGTTCCACGAAAAAGGAAAAGAGCTTTTTGCCCAACAGATGTTCGTTAAGAATTTTAATCCATTTTTATTCACAGGTCCGATGTAGGATTTGTGTCGTCTTGTTCATTTGCTCGTCGATCGTTTATGCGCATCATCTGACTTCTATCATTTGTCAATGAGTCATTGTCGCCACAATGAGTACAAACTATTTCCATGTTGGACATGGATATACCTTCACATTGACCTATTCTTCACACCTTCTGCCAGATGGTACCAGATATTTCAGTTTTGCTATCAAAAGTCTTTACAGTGCCTATTCTAACACACCGTATTAATTTTATGTACACATTTCTGGTTTTGTGATATATCAGCCATTTTAGTACGCATTCTGGTTTCTAGTATTTGGCTAAAATCATTGTGATACTGATAAACCTGAATGTAAACTGAATCAAATGACACTGTTAATATTGTCACAATTCCAGTTACCGTCCTAGTTCCAGGAATTTTCTATCCCAATCGTCAATTTAAATTAGTAATACGGTGAATTTACAAAACTATTTTTTATTTACAGTTTTTATTTTAGAACTGGGTCATAAATACGTTATCATTAGCGCGTTGAAGGGAAATGGTGAGTAAACAGAGATGTAATAAATCGGTTAATGGTGGTTAAGATGTTTGCCATCTGTCACTGTGAAGTGAAAGATACATTTTGCCGTGTAATGTATAGATTTAGAAAATAAAAAACAAACAAGAAAGAGAGACAATAACGAGAGGTACACCGTGCGGTTATTGTCCACGTAACCGTACGGCCGCGGCATACGCACATTTTCGTCAATTGACTAACGCAAAACAAATGCTTGCATCTTCCGTAGAAGCAATCAAAGCTTTGCCCACGTTGCAGCAATGTCTCAACTGGGTACGTTCCTTAATCAAAAATAAATTATTTCGACTGTTCAGTCCAATAAAATATTTAAACACTTTCATTAATATTGATTTATGACCAACTTCACTTTAGTATTTGTCCAGCAAATTTTTAAGAAATAAGTATATTATTTGACGCTAAAAAAAAACGTGATGTATGGTGACATCACGTTTTTTCACTCGTACGAAATTCATAGGAAACTGTCGTTTTGACAGTTCGAAAAAAGTATTGAATTTGACTAGATGGCAAATACACAACTGCACGTCATGCGTACCTAATAAAAACAATCATGCCTTTGCCTGCGTTATATGAAAGATACATACATTCGTCAAATTAAACAACGTGAACAGTAGCCCTTACCGCTCCAAAATACCGAAAAAAGCCGACAGCGCACTTTTAACGCGTCTGGTGCTGCGTGGGCGACGCTAATTGATTACCATCAGGTGATCGGTCCGCTAGTTTGCCGGCTTATTAAAAAATACATACAT